CAAAATATGTATAGCTTTTTTTTTTACATCGGTACGCCTTGAGCACGCAATGTATTTGTTTTACCTATGGAATATTTTCGAACATAATTAACCACAAATATCCCTTTAACAAAATCGAATCTTAAAATCATTTGTTTAGATATAGGCGATTTGTGACAACTGCAACAGTAATTCTCAACAAGGCTCTTTCAATCGCTGTCATAAGTTCAATAGCGATCCTACCGGTACGTGTAGCAGCGTCCATCTTTTCTGCCTTACCTCGTTAGGTAAAATGACATTTACTCAAAGGAATCAACTAAACTTTTCCGTGATGATTCGGCGGCATAACGCGCTGCATAACATTTTCCAAGCTTTATTTATCGACTGTATGGGGTCTGTCTATATTGTATCAAAATTTCGTTCAAATGTTTTCGTTAAGACGAACTGTGAAAAGGGATCTAGAGGGCCGGTTCGTCGAAATGAAATAATGATTATCTGGCCGTAGAAGAAAAGACTATTTATGGGACTTGTTTCTGAGTTACAGCTGTCGAGCATATTGCCAAGAAAAAAAATTGCTAGTTTCATCAATCAGAGTATTTATGTGTACATACCGCCATTCTGAACGTAAGTGTTTCCGCCTATCAGCGCCGTGTATCATCATAGCCGCTGTAGAATCTACATTCTGAATATAAAAGAATGAAGACACTACACACGAAAGCATTCAAATTAGGGTAACCTTTGGCAGGCTGTTTGTCGTAGCGTTTATCTGCTAATCTGGACACCAGAGAAAAGCCAGTCCTTCGTTTAACGAAACAGCAAACCCATCGCCTTTAGAATCTGAACAGGAGCAAGCTATTATCTAGTCTCTTTTTACACCAGGCGAACCCCTACCGATACTGAAAACTTCTTTTTTGGCTTGAAATCAACAACTGCCAACTTCTATGCGGCTTCCGAAAATTTCGACGAAGATCTCCAAATTTAGGTCTGAGCGCCTTTAAAATGAATCAAAGAGACTCGAAAACCCCCTTTTCGCTGATACATCTAAGCTTTTGATATAGAAATGAACAGCCTCTTTAGATGGAACGATATAACTTGGCACCCTTATAGCTCCAATGGCTATTTTTTTTTAAACCGTCTGCGCTTTATTGAACTTTTTAGGTTTTTGGCCATTTTGAGCTTTGTCTCGGCAGTTCCACCAGCCCTAAAGTCTGTTAAACAGTTTACATCTACCTATATCGTTCGTTACTTATCAAGAGGTATTTTGTAAATGATTGGATCTCCAATTGAAGCTGTAAGTACAGTTAATGGGTCAAGAAGAAATTCGTCAAAGTATCTCTTTTGCTTAAACACAGTTTTAGTATAGAGAAAATTTTCAATTTAAATGCGCCAGCCCGTATGTCTGGATCACCGGCAGCTGCACCTCAGACTGTGTGGCAGTGAAATTTACTCGTTAATATTGATATGTTTAGAAGTATTTTCAAGAACTTCTAAAGTGAAGATATATTTCTTATGCTGTTTATGAAATAACCGTGCGCAGAGTTTCGTCTTCTTTCACCATTCTCAAGTGACAAAACTTTTTGTTTTTGACATTTCCGAGTCATGCCTTTTTACTCAAAAATTAAGACGTGATATAGGGCATGGACCATCATTTTACGACCAATAGTGATCCATTCACTGAAGTACAATATTTCTTTTTCATTTTTTTTAAATAGCATCTATAAAAACGCATTAGACAAGGTTTAGCTGTAGCCAAACTGAGACTTGCCGTTGCTTGTGCTAAACCTGCTGCCTGTTACCGCTCGTTCAATACCGTCGAAGCAACGATAACCATTGCCTTTGCAGTGAGCACTATCATCTGATTTTTAACGTATTATTCACGATTTTCACCTGATTTTATGGAACAAGAACAATGCTTGACCGATGCTATTTCTGACGACTGGTCAGATAGTATCAGTTCAGAACCCACGGACCGCAGAACACGTGCAAAGAAGGCACCTGCTCAAGAAACGTGTGTCAGAATGCCGAAAGCGGTGTGAAAATGAAAGACTTGATTAATAGACGATCGGAAAGTAGATTTAAAATTCAGAGAAAACGCAGAAATCAAGCAAACACCCGGCATATATATATATATATAAGGATCTAGGTGATGTCGCCAAAGACAGCGCAGTACAAAAGAACAAAAAACAGGTTTTGAAGTGGAAAAGAAAAAAAAATAGGAAAAACGATTGAAGAAGCCAAATCGTGTTGGATAAAAAACGCAGAGACGATAGCAGGAACCGTGATCTACCTCGCGCTTTTATCAATGGGAAAAGTTGCTGGCAAGACTACAGAACTGTTCCACCTTTAGAACACTAGTTAAGCATTGGATGGAAGTATAGAGTGTGGTTTTTATTCTAAAGCATCTCAGGGTTCTAGCAATATATGTGTTTAACCAATGAAAAAAATTTTGTTTCTACAGTTGTTTTCATTCATTGTTATTTTTACTTTTAAAGTTGACTGTTCGCGGCAGAACAATGTATATTAGCCAGAAAGTCCTCGATTTCAAGCGAGAATCTTTACCTTGAGGCCCAAAGAAGTCCGCTATTCCTTGACATTATATTAGACAATGCAAACGTACTTACTCTATTTTAACAATACCTGTTGTTGCGTAAAGTGTGACATTCTGCGTCTTCGAGTCACAATATATCCAAAAAAAAGTGTTAATATTACTGTATGTGAAAGCTTTATCAGAGACGATCAACACACCACGAGGTTTTACACGCTTCATAGTGCAAACATTCTATATAAAACCGTATATATGCTGATTATATGAAATTAATTGATGAGTCTAGAAAATATCCATACTCTGATTGTAACAATTTTTATTGTTTTTTTTTTTTAGCCAGTCTATAAATACTTTTCTCACAGGATGAAATTCCCATCTGCTGCTGTAGCTAGCAGACACAGCGGTTAAATACTACCCTCGTCCATTCTGATGCTTGCACCTAAAAGGTTACTAGTTATAATAGACAGATCCATTTCGATTTTAGCCAACTATTAACCCTGACAATAGTTGAACTTCCAGCACATTGGTCTTATTTCTTAGGCTCTGATAGGGTTATCCGTTTTGGCGGTCACTTTCGAACACCCACTCGGCTGTTTTTCGTAGATCGTGATCCTATTGTCTGGGTATAACGGCTAAAAACTGGTCTGATGAAGATCTTTATACTGAAGCATGCGATCCAAAATGGCAGAAAGAGTTCAGGACTGACGTGAGCAGGTAACAACGACGTTACAATAGTTTGTCTTCTAACAACAATGTTCATTTTTCCACAATTAGTGAACGAGGCCGGAATAGGCCTGTCTGCTTATCCGCTATCGTTTCCTTGCTCAGAGAATACACACAAAAGTGGTTCGCCTCTATTGGCGTTGCTGTCGGTGTAACACTGTATATAACAGTATAATAGTCTATCTGTTAAAAATCGAAGCCTCACTCATTCGAGCTGGGGCTTTCATTCGAAAGGGCAAAATTACTCTAGCAGTTGTGAAGTTATTAGTGGTGACGCTTTGACACAAGATGGAAGATACCATGTGTCCATATAAAGATTACTAAATATTTGGACATGGCACATTTCGGTCTGTCTCAATTATCTATGAGAACTGGTTCTTCTATCAAAAGGGCACACACATGATACAACGAATGATGTTTGGTCTGTCTGAATGCGACGCAATCCCTGGCGCATATCTAAACGCACTGTAAGCTTATAACAGTTATTTGTACGTGTATTTACGTACTGAATTACGAAAGTGTTTGGCTAAAGATAATTTTCTATAACTGGCTTGGGTGTTCTTCGGTTTGTGCGTTCTGCAGAATGTCTATTATCTGTTCCTCGAACAGCTGTACTGCAAATCCCATTGCAGTGTATCTGAATTAGATAGACTGTATTTAGCCAAGCAGAAACAGGAGCACTGTCACGCTCGTTCCACGAGGCTTCCCGGCAGAAGCCGAAGGTTTCAGTGACGGCACCGTCACAGTGGCTTTAAACTTATGCGCCTCTTGAAAAGCGTGTCTTATGCTATACTCGTTGCTTAATCTATTAGATGTTTAGCATATTTTAGTTAAGTAAAGCATTTTGAATTAGTACAGGAATATTTGAGATGATCCTGACAAAATGTCTACGTTCTTTTTTAATTTATTATTCCTTAACCAGGCACGTCAAGCGTATGTTGTTATGAAAAGTTTCCAAACGCTCAGATGAATCGAGCAGCAAGTTACCGTAGACTACAACAACTTTCCATGAAATGGTGTCAGTGGTTATAAGTTTTGTTCAGATGCCTTACCTCAATTTTTTTGCCCTATAACACACGAGAGGGAAAGAGCCTATACGTGTATTTTTTTATATCAGTTAACACAAACCGGATCAATATGGCGTTGCTATCCACATTAGTTTTAGTTGATCTTTTTTTGTGTTACAAGAAACTAAAAAAAACTCAAACATCGAATCAGTGACGGATGTTTTTTTGAGAATTGCAAGTTTAAAGAATAGGTCGCCCATCAAGTGTTTGCTTAGACCTTATCCACGACTGATGTTGATCGCTTTCCTGTGGCCATAGTAGCTTACTGCACCTACATACTATAGTTGCAGGCAGTTTTAAGCTGTGCCACAACAAGCCATACCTACTTGCTTTGTATGGGTCGAGCAGATTCTCTGGAGCATTGCGCACTTTTTAATCGATATGTCTTTCTTTTCTTTATGAAAGCGAAACGACACCTCCGGCTATCGGTACCGAATGCCAGCGACCATGCCGAAGCCAGATGCTAACCATATACACACAAGTCGAACTCAAGCTATAGACACCGAAAAGTAGATGAAATCGCCCGAATTAAGGTAAAGTGAGCTAGCAGTCTATTATATACCAATAACGAGGAGTAGCTGAGTTGCCGCTCAGCTAACGGTGATGGTGTACTGAATCGTTTTTGGAGCGTATTTGATGTACGATTTCATCGTTTGATGGTGGATGAGTCGAAGCAGACCTGAGTCAATGGTACCGTGACGAAAATTCAGCTACGGCAACAGGCAGTATGAAATCATACAAGCACGAAGGGCAATCGACCGGCTGGTCTTGCCAAGTGCTTTTCGACTTCTGGTAATTATGTGTTCACACTTTAAGAACCAAATGTGATCATATCGACGATTTTCGTACGGGATATGGTTGTTGAGCAATCTTTGACAACTACGCCTATGTGTCGACAACCTGTCAGTGCCTTCACGCTCGTTCGGTTGCTGGTTCCATTAATGGCCGGATGTGTACTTGGTTCTATTTCTCATCAATCAAATTGGTCGTTGACCAATACGTCTTTGACGTATATGGATAATATTTTGAAATCATTAACGGGTAAGTTCTTGGACAGAAATTAGCTTACCAATGTTACTAAGAGTTGAGTTCTCTCTGAACGTCTATAGTTGAAGCGTTAACAGCTTTCTGTGATTAAAACTGACAAATACTTTTTTTTTTTTTGGGCTATCGAAAGATGACAATAGCTGATTTATTTTCACTTTGACAAGCTCATATTAGAACATATACACCCGTTGAGCTATGAGTGAAATAAATTTCCCTCGGAGAAATGTAATATTCTACATTACCATAATTATGAAACAGTGACTAAGGGGGCTCTAGGGTGGACAGTTAGGGGGCACTTCAGGACCAGTTTGGAAAAAGAATCTTCAAAGACTTACGTCGTATGGTTTCGACTGTGATTAGATTGACCCCCTTCTACAACAGTTACTCAACTAGTGCACCAGCAGCAAATTCTCTCGGACTCTAGGTAATGCAACATGCATAAAATCTTAATTAAATATACTCTTATAACGGAAAAGTGAACCACGAAGATTGTACCAGACCCCGCTTGCTACGTGGTTCGCATCGACGAACAGAAAGAAATCAATCAATGGTATCACAACGAGAAAAGTAAAAACAAGCGAAATTGCAGGACGCGTTCATTCGTATCGTATTTGGAACAATTAGACCGAATGTGGGGTAGCCGGCGAAATGTTGCGCCTGTTCAGTCACTGTTCCTCCGGCAGCAATATGGCAGAATGGATTGGTAGTGGCGAGCTCGCCAGGCAGAAATCATCTTCATTACCGTTTCGCTATTCATTTACCTATATGGTAGCTGTAATTTTTATCCAGTATCCATACTCTGCATGTCAATACTCTAAAAAGCGGTTGATGAAAACCGGTGTTTACATCTAGTATTTTCCGACGAAGTAGTAACTAACATTGTTGCTGTTGTTAGTAGCTTGGGAAAAGCGTTGAAGTGACAGGCATTTACAGGCCAGTGACAAGGGCATGATTAAGGACAACGCGATGCTCGATCTCTGAACATGCACCTTATTAATCGTTTGGTAGTGCAGAATATGTAATCAATTGTCCTAATGTGAGCGCGGAAATGAAAGACTAAAACGTCAGAATCAGCTTGCGGGCGTTGCGAACCGGCGGAACCTAAGGCAGACATCGAGCCAAAGAGGTTGGCATCGTATATTTTCGCTGCTTGAGTTCAACATCGAATCAAATTGTTAGTTGTGAAGATACGCATGACTGGGGTCTTGCTATAATCGTTTGCTAGGCATAACAGGAACACGTACCTGGCAATGACCTGTCCGTTTAGCAGGCACATACAGGGTCGTAATCATACCAATAGCCTAATCAGAGAGATCCAGAAGACGCAGATACTCGGTCGCTGTTTCAAAGATGTAATGTCGACAAATCTAGCTAGCCCTTAAGGATCCTCTCATATTGTCGCCGAAATAGTACCGGTCGCATGGTGCACATAACAGGAACATGCCTGGAGTTACTAGATCTTCGGAGAAATACAACTGAACCTAGCGTTCCACGTGTGAATTACATGTTGCCTTGCGTGCTCCCGTAGTTCGCTCGGTAGGTTTTTCGCTGTACAATGTGCCGTGTCAGCGTTTGACAACAGTGAGTCGCGGGTGCTGTTGCTACGAATTGTTCCATAGGCTAGCCCTACACCGAAAAGAAAGATTGAAACGCGTCGTAGTTCAATGCTCACAACCTATATACTGTCCGGCTTGATTAGTAAGAACGGGTACCGTATAGATGTGCCGATGCGCGAGCGCCTGATGTTATTTGTCTTTGCTTTTGTCGGGCATCTTCCGATATGCTCTTTATCTTTGTTACTTATCCATGTATGCACATACGCCTATGCCTATAGATCTAAACAAGATTATCTGTGGAAGACACGAAGCAGATACTAGGTAAAATGCTTAATCGCTTAAGTTCCAAATCAGCGGCTTGAACCACGAGAGGTTTTCAATAAAATTGACGCAGAAGGCATGCTTAGAAGCTCGTGACTCTGAGACAATGTTTTTACGTAAATACTATAGGGATACGTGTTCACATGTTGGTCGGGTCATAGACAGCATAAAGCTATTACTTTTCTGAAATAAATAGCCCGTTGCGTGTTTCGAACCGCGGCAGAAGCAGTCACTGGAATGAATATGATGCTTTTTGGGCGAAAACCGTTAAAATTTCCATTTTTCGATTTTCATGGTCCTGCTGGCTCGGAGAAATCGTTTAATGTGTATTGTGTTGACATGTATTTAGATCAAAGCGAAGCTAAAAAAAGATGAAATACAGTATATCAGCGAAGTACTGGAGATAGCTTGCACAGGGGAAAAACTCGTCGACTCAGAGACATGACGGGCACATCGCGCGCTTCAATTTCTTTGTGCTTCACTTTCGGTTCCTGTACATCGCCACGTTCTGAGGCCATCGTTCCGCTTCTATAGTAGATACGCTATTCGTGCGTTTGTCTACGTTAGGCTGACATGATATAGTTTTAAAAGGGATCCATTCTGACAGCTCTTATACAATTGCCTATATTCTCCCTTATACTCAGCGTAATCAGTCAAATTTATCAGTCAATGGAGTGGAGTTTAGAAGAGTATTTGGTGACTAAAGCTCTCTTTGTGAAAAATGTCATCATAAGCTGAGTCGTACCGATTACCCTATAGATTATTTAGAAGAAACATGAAAAATCTACTACTACTACTACTACTACTACTAAAATGTGTTCTAAATAACCCCGAATATTGTGGACAACCAGTGTTTGTAACACACGCTAACCTATATTATACGCCTGTTGGGCCATTAGTTACTATTTTCTTATTATACAACCTCACATTCGGCCCTATCGATCGATCGATCGATCTCTGAGTGTCTACCGCAATGTCGTTCGTTTTAACACTGTTGACAATTTACTGCAGTAGGCTGAATTGTTCATATATTCCCGAGTAATTAGGAGGTATCCAACGTGTCTGCAATGGACTGGGACATGTTAGAATTAGGGAAATCATTTAAAATTGTCCTATACTGTTTCGCTGATCTTGCAGGCTCTCGTGTACGTTAGAGGATGAATTAACGGAAATTCAAAAATAACTTAGGCACGTTACGCAACGTCGATCCATACAAAATGTTAACTCAAGTAACTTGTTTCGTCTTAGTGATTACACATAGGGTGCTCGAAAAAATCAGGAGAGATACATAATTGATAAAACTTAAATGTACTATAATAACGTATGTGACAAGGTGTGGCCGCGTAGATTTGCTTACGCTAAAATCATTGTTATCGCTCTTAGAGCACAAATAAACGGTTAGAAACAAATTCTTACGTTAATACCAGCTTGATTTTGCCCGGTTGTCAGATACGGAGTAATCCAGGTTAAATACTGAATTATAAATACCTCACATTCGATTCTATATCGGAGCGCAAGAAGCAACGTCCGAAGTTTTGCTTCTGTATGAAATAGTAGCAGCATTTATATCTCAATGATAGCGAGCTATTGATATTAGAGGTCACCACTGCAGTAGTACCAACTTGTTATCGAGCCTAAGCAGTGATACGACCAGTTAGTTGGTTGCTTTTGCATGGTTAAGGCACTTCGTTCTAACACAACCTTTACGTCTTTTGTTGCGATTAATAGAGTCGGCTCATTTTGTTCCTAGCGTGCCACCAATGCTTCCAGTTATTTAGGTTTTTTTTTTTTTTTTTAATAAATAGTTCCGTATGGAACAAGGGTTCAACTATACGATATGCCTCGGTCTAGGGCGTCATCGTAACCTATTTTTTTAATATTTTGTTTATTTTTCTTACATTTTAGTAGTTTTCTCTGAAATTTAGCATTACTTTTACTATTTTAAATTTTCAATTGGCATTCGTTAGAAATTTTATTAAAGAAAAAAATTTGAAACGTATATTCGTATTACCTTTACACAAGCAAACTCATGCAACCAATAAGACTTTGTAATTCTGACTTGAAAATAACGATTTAAGTGTAAGGATACTTATCGCATATTCATAAAGTTCGTCGAGATCTATGAATTGGTAGGGAAAAATCCGCTCCCTACTTAGAACGCCATATCAAGTTTTTCGTCGGTAAAACGGTATTTTCGAACCGAAAAAAAAAGATTTCGGTGTATGAACGTGTATTGCATTTCGGTTCAGCTCAGCGAGTGTTTCCGATTAATACCAAGAAGTGTATTACATAGACTTCCGTATAAAAAAACATTTGGTATCTACTGCTTAGCCAAGTGAACCGTGAAAAAATGAACTCAATACGACACCTTTTAAGGGTTTGTGTGGTTTAAATAGACGAAAAGGTGTTAGTAGTATATAAGTAGATGCGTGCGATGTTTGGCTGAAGATGCGCGAAGTCGCTGAGACGTTCTTCGGTATGAACCAGAAGATAGAGGCCCATGTTTGTTATTAAGACATCGCATGTGAATTATACTGCCTATTATCAATGTTCCTCAATGATGAGCTCATTCACATTGCGTAGTGAAATAAACATTTTTCCTGCGACAATTTAAAGGTATTTTTTCTTTCCAGTAGGACTGATACAAGCGTTCATACGTGTGATACAAGGGTTGCTACCGTTATGACTTATGTTTCTACAAATGTAGGACGTAAACAAAGTGCAACATGCCCTTGTCAAGCGCCACTGTTAACGATTTTCAAGTATTATACACACCATGCTTGTTTATAATCCGATTTTTTGTAATAGTCTTCTGTTTTCCCATTACTAGCTTCTATTACCCCTATCGCCAGTTCCCCGTCACTTATCATTGCAGCCATTTTTGCCTTTATTTACCTAAGACGAACAGCTCACAAAGAGCGAGCAATCATTGCGCCGATATCCATCGCATCGCATCGCATCATTACATGACTTAATGCAGACGACAAGCACGAAAAGCGGAGGTTAAGCTCTCAATTCCTACGGTGGAACCATCAAAATCTAACCAGCTTCGATGACTTTCGCCTACGCATTGCACTATGAGCTCCGGTTGACTGCGCGGAGCGATACGACGATACCGAACAATCAAAAGCGGTTACATGATAGTACCATTCGGCAGCGATGGTAGTTGATCAGTGGTACCAAGGACCCGGCTTCAGCGTTGATGTTGAGGATATTTGTAAGTATTCATGCTAATTGGAGCGAGCTATCGCGTCACCACAACGGCAGGAAGAATAAACAACGGCCGTGACGGCATTGTCAAACGCGATGCCGTCGTCACGACTGTAACAACTTAATCGTTTTAGTAGGGGCCACCGAGAATGCCTGTGTGGCTGAATCTACATGTGTCCCACGAATGCCTCGAGGTCCGCAGCTGCTCTGCGAGCTGCAACAACTTGTCTCCTGGGCACGAAGGGACAATTGACGCCAATAGGGTCGACGATATTCTCAGCGACGACAGTGGTAAAATCAACAACGGCAGCAGTAGCACCAGTAAAAGTACACGTCAGCTGTAGCAATGATTGCAGTATTAGTAATCGTTGTATTATGGTAGCGCCGTGCAGCATGCTCAACTTCTTTCTTCCGTAGCAGTTTCAGCTGCTATCGCCCCCTACAGGCACCGGTTCAATCAGGGGTACCAGGGTTAAAACTGTAACAAGACCGCCACTTCGCTTCTGTGCCAAACGAATTGGCCCGTGGCCCACAGCCAAACCTGTCGACATTAGCTCGCAATACACAGTAACGGAGCGTACTATAGAAAAGAACAGCGTCGCGGAGAGCCCGGGCAAAGCTATTGAGAACACCGCGGCTCGTGTCCATCAACTATATTCACAGCAGCAGCCATGATTCTTTTAGGAGCGATGGTTCATTGTTGAACAAAGACGAATATACATGCACCATAGCTGATCCACGTACGTATCCTCGTTCAGCTGTTGCCGGGCTGTTCAGTTAGCGTTGCCGGGGGACTGCTGTTTGACTTATAGCACCTGCTTATCAGACGATAAGTTACTTAACGCGTGACGACAGTGTTCGGACAGCTTACCTGTACCGATGTGTTTTATTAAGTCGGCAGACAGAGCAAGTGGCACTGGGCAGCAAAGGCCAAAAGGACATTGCGTTATCGTAACATCCGTGCCCAGACTCAGTGGAAACAACGCCCTGTAGGGCAGCAGCAGCAGCAGCAGCAGGAGCAGTGATAACAATGCAGCGGACTGGTAATACTGGGAAGACTGAAAAACTACAATCATGGTAAATAACGCGGCCTTTGCCCATAAGTGTGTAAACCGGCTAGAAACGAATCGCGATTGCCTCGTAAACGTTTTAGATTTCGTTCCGTTCGCTTTTTCCTTATCACTCCTTACATTTCACGCGGGCACCTTCACGTTGCATGCGTACTTATCTAACCCCATAGTGGTTAGCAAACCACTCAGACAAATAAAGCTCTGCAATAGTTAGCCGCCCGCGTGTGGCCCATGCGGAGCTACGTGAAGCGATTCGACGTTACCAATTTAGCTCGCACGAAGCTCCGCCTGTCACCGAATTGTCACCGGCATCCTTAACAGTAAACAGTAACGTTCGGCAACTTGCGCGAGAGAAGGCGGCGTTGCCGGATACTAACCAACAAACCCGAGTCCGGCCTTTGGACATGAGCAGACAATGAAGGAATGAACGCGTGAAGAGGCGAACATCGCAACAATGAGCTTAAAACAGGTGGGCAGTACGGTCTAGAAGTAATGACGATTCTCAACGAATCGAAACGGCTGTAGCATCCAGCGATTGCAATTACGCAAGAACTAATTCAGGTTATGGAGAAAGCAACGCATATTACACGTGAACAGAAGCTCGTAGACGGGGCCTACCTGCGCGAGAGCAGAACAACCACTTCTGCTGGGCCTTTTGATAGATGCAAAGCGAGAAAACGACAGTAGGAGCGGCAGATACGAGAGGCATCACTCGTGGCGAACACGATGCTTTATAGTGCGTCTCTGTGACGTCCAAGTATATATATTATCTGATAACTTAGTTTGCTGGAGTATTGAGCTTTGTTAGCTAAACAAACTTACATAAGTGGGCCAAGACGGCCAGTATCTCCCGACCGGTTGTGGCATGTTGACGGTACAATTAAGTTCCTCCACGATATTCAATTTGATTCGAAACATCATTACTTCATACATTTTATATTAACATAAACTTTAAGGCTGTATGAGGTTAAACAAATATGCAAGCGCACATCGGTGCGGCAAGTGATTCTTATTCAATCTTAAGATAGTTAATATTCTAGAGATTGCGAAAACTTGTAATAACATATGGGCTCGAATAAGGAGTTTAGGATTTTCTACTTAAATTAGGTTGTCTATGACGCGTTTATATTTGGTTCTAACATATACTACTTATGTATTTTATAGATTTATTCAAATGAGTGGATCTAATGCATAGTTTTGCGTTCATCAAATTGTGTTGAATTTATTTCAGAATAGAATTACAATCGGAATTATTTTGAATTTAAGCCAGAGGGCATAAGTTTAGAAGATAGGATGTCGAAACCAAAGGTGCTTTTGACTCGTCCAGATATTCCAACGGAATCGCTCCAGCTACTGCAGTCGTTTGCGGAGGTTGAAATCCAGCCGAAAGAAAGGCCCATCAGCAAAGAGGAGCTTATTACTTCGGTCAGGGATAAAGATGCTCTTTTCTGTATGCTTACAGATCCTGTCGACAAAGAGGTATAGTAATTGAGGTTTTTCGTGAAAACATTTTTACAAACAGTGAAATATTTTTCATTTCGCACCATACATTTTATTCGGATAACGTCTGTTTTTGTTGTTATCATTTTGATTGTTCGAGCTAACGTTTCTCTCAACACTGCTTGTTGTGAATATAACTTCGTGTATTTTTATGTAGCAACGTCCTATATATATATATATATATATATATATGTATGAGGAACACACAACGGTAGCCCACTAATCGATCATATCTATCTACCCCTAAAGCTCAGCATTATCACATGGCAAGCTTTACTAAAATGGTACAAACGTTCGTCCAAGTTGAGCTGCGTTTGCGCCTACCATTATTACTACGTATGAGTTTTATTAGTCACCAATCGGTTGTTGTTATATGCGGTTATCTAGTATTGTCAATCATTCTTCTTATTGAGTTGACTAACTAGGTGTCTGTCTTCATTGCAATCAAATATAATTCGTACACGAGATTTCAGCGTTTACCGTAGCTGTTGCTACTGTGATCATTGAAGCAAGGGATCGCCTTATCGATGGCGAAGTGCATTAAGTTTTACATACGGTTTCAGCTCCCACCCAGTACGAAACGAACCCTGTTTGTGTCCTCTCACGAGCCCTGACGTCATTACGTGTCTCCTAATTTTGTAGACAAACACATCACTACTCCATCATTACTGGAGACTTTTGCTAAGTCTAATCAAGCAAACATTTCGTGTTTGAAATACATCAACCTATCGAACATCTGCAGATCTCTCGTGGCAGCATTTCAGTATTGTAGTTGTGCTGGGCCAAAAAAATTAAGATAACTGTTGGTAATTTTTTGGTCTATTTCAGATTATTACGATGTTGTTAATGTTCGTTTTGGCAAAAATTGAACGTTTGCATTTGAGACGTCGACTAAGATACGCAGTGAAGATTAGCCATGACAAAGGTTCTTAGCTTGATTTCGAGCCTCGCGCCTGCTTGTTTTTCGCATTTGGTCGCAGTTTCTTAGACAGTATTCTAATACCAAAAGCTTTGTTGAAGTAGCTGCCCGTCACAGTTCATCGATTGTCTCGGGACAACCCGAATCGCCTTCGTACGAGCTCTTTTGGAAGAGGCACTATAGAGTATAGGTCCGAGAATATATACATACAGTTGTATTTATAGAAGATAAAATGCAAATCTACGATACGAATGAATATTCCAGCTCAAAAACCTGGTATAACCACGTCCGTAGCGTGGACGTTCTTTGATTAGGTGGAGTAACTTGACTGTTTAGTTGCTCTTTCCTATACCTACGTTTCATATTTTACCCTGGGCTTTATTCTTTTTTTTTTTTTTTTTTTTTTTTAATTTGCTAACATATTGAACACACGAGTGTGTGCCTGCATTTAGCCCAAACCAATACACCAAAGGCGGAAGCAACGGATGTCTGTCTGTGTGCTAAGCTATAGTTACCGAGACGCCATTTCATTGATAACAATGAAATACAGACAGATTCACGTTTAC